TATGCATGCTTAAGTTTAGGCACAAAATCTACATGGCTAGCATTGGGGCCCTGGATTGGGTTAACACACTCAAATGTCACACACGACTCGATTTCCAATTCTCTGTGTGAAACTCAGGTGTTTGTTGGACCCTTCCATCTGCTGCAACCACCCACGTTCTAGATTTCAAAACCGTTCACTTTCACCAGACACTAAATGTTAGCTGCTCCACACTCCAGTCCAGTTGGTGGTGATAATGCACCACTTCATTGTTTGCTAACCACCGTAAAACACCAACAACAAGAACATGAAGGACACTGGGCTACAATGTAAAAAATATATATCGCAATTTACAGCCGTTAATGTTGACAGTGTTTTATGCTGTGGACCAATGGCCTGTTTCGTTTTTTGCAGAAACTATATCCCTTACGATGTTAGATGCTTCGTGCCGTTTACCAGCAACTGTCAATATCTGCTGTTTGGTGCTGAGAGGGTTTTAGTTGGTAAATGAATGTTCACTGAACTTCTCACATGCTAGCCAAGAAAACACAACAGCAGCTTCGAGTTTCCTGCCAGCACCAACCGATCACTGACAGGCCTGCTACATACTGTAGGTAAAAGTCTATTTAAAGTGCTTGGAGTTTAACTGGAGAGATTTGGCTCCCTATACGATAAACTGGCAAAAAGCAAGATGGTGAAGACTAACTACAGCTAAACAAGTGAACACTGAGTTTAAATTTACCACAAACAAGACTCCAATAGAATGCTAATGTTGCTCCATGTTTGACAATTATGTAAATCTAGACAACAATTTTGGTAAGAAATTAACATGACCAGTGAGGTTGGTGTGGAGGTCTGCGGCCTAGTGGTGCAAAACGTGTGTAAATGCAGATTTATTTTGTTTTACAAAAGGTTTAACTCTCTGCTTCTTGGGATTTTTTGCAGAAATACAGCAGAACTAATTTTAATTTGTTAATTCATTGCAAACCACCAATGGCACCATAGTAGCCAGGTGTAAATAACATCAACCCAACATGTTACCAGAAGTATTGGAGACAGTACCTGCACCGTTTCCAGTAGCAGTTCTTCTTACGATCATCCCCTGCAGCAGTATATATTCTTTACAGAGGAATCCCATGACTTCCCAACAACATGACTGCAGTGTTTGCACAAATGAGAAAAACCTGGAAAGACAAGTGAGAATTTATGAAGTCAGTTATTGTTGTGAGATCAGTGCCAAAGTCTAAAGTCAACACACATGAACACATGACTTCTCTGGCCTGTTTTGATATTTTCTCTTAGCAAGAGTATATTTCTGCTGCTGTAAATAAATAGCTAGAGTCTAATGGGATCTGCTCTGTGGAGTGCGTGTGCGCTGCAGGGAGCAAACACAAGATATTTTTCTTTGTACAAGTCATGTAAAGGCAAATCTCTGCAAGGTGGAAGCTGACACTTAAGCGTACAGATTGAGCCATTAGGGTGAATTATTGATGCATGCTCATATTTGTAATAATAGACAAAGAGACACGGTTCAGACAACTTAGAAAATATATCTGTTAATAAAACGAGAGGGGAAAAATGGGGAAAGGATCAAATGCAAAGTAAAGAAAGACTAAAGCCCTAATCTGCTGAGTGTTTACAGTGCAGATGGATTTTTTTTTTTATTGGGCTTCAGACAGTTTTTCTATTTTTATCAACTAAAACTGTTTAAATATCTAAAAATGCAAAAGTATTGATCCGTAGACAGCAAACAAACTTGGCAGCAACTAAACTCTGAGCCCCAAACTGTGAACTCAGACTATACACCTACACTAGGATCACTGAAGCCAGAGTGCAGTGGAGGAGCTCTTGGTGGCTTTTACCTCTTCTCTTTCTTTCTGCTGCATTGAATAAGTAACCTGCCACAAACCTACAGCTGTAATTTAAAAGGGAAGAAATGTAGGACTGCATGTGGTCTCAGATGAAAGGCAGGGCAAGAAAAGGGCTGAAATTTATTTTTAAATATTTAGAGGGGAACATGCTCCCCCACCTCCATCCCACTATACCCACTTGAACTGAAATAATTCACTGTTTCCCTCACCACAACTTCAACATTTCTAGAGGGTTTCAATGATACTTGACCACATGACGCACTAACAGAGTTTTCCTCCCGTGAGACAGCTGTTTCAAGACCCATTACAGTGCATATGAAAGGAAGGAGATTAAAGCATCAACATCTTTAATGAGAAACATATTTCAACAGAACCGAAATGCCTGTTTTTACTTTGCACTGATTACATTTAAATGGATCCCATGAAGTGAAGAAAAAAATTCAAATGTTTTATTTCAGGCTGTCAGGCCACATGATGCAGGTTATTCAATTACACACACACACACACACACACACACACTATATTGAGCATATGTTTGATTTTCTGATATCTGCCATTCTTCCTGCAAACATTGTTGCATCAGAGTTTAAGGGCTGGCAAACAGTGCTGTCAGTGGTGATCATATTCTCTGACTTGTATCATTTCTAACTATTGTAGCACTGAGCTGATGGTTGCCACCCACTGAAGACCTCATCCATCTCAAGTCTTGTCAATGACATCTTAAACCCTGGACAAGAGAGAAAGAGACAGAGAGAGGGTGAGTGAGCGAGAATAAAGAACACTGAAGTGGAAATACAGTGAAAATAGAAGTTAAGAGAGGTAACAGGAGGTGGAGAGGAACAGACTCAGTGAGACTCAGTGAGACTCATTTCAACGTGTTCAGTGTGCGAGTGACCTTCAGGTTTCTACACACATTGGTTTGCCCACAACTGTTATTTTTGCACCGGGTTTATAGGGGTGTAGGTGTCCTGGAGTAATGATCCCACACCCACATGCTGTCATGCCCATGATCACCGAGGCCACCAAGAGCTTTCACCACTGCTGATCAGATCAGCAGAGTTAACCCAAGACACCCCCTGCCAAACTCATATCTGGGAAAAGAAATCTTTTTTTGCAGTCAAACTTAAGTCACAAAAATAGGAACTAAAGATCTGACTTGGACATGACCGATGTGGGATTTGACTCGACTTAAAGTTCAATACAAAACTAAAGTAGCATCTACACTGATATGACTGTTTAAAAAAAAGAAAATGACAAATTTTCAGAGGCCTGAAAGTCCAGAAAATTTCTTGTGAAGACATGTAACTTGACTCCAATGTCCCATAAAAGATCTGAGACTTAACTGGTACTTCCCCTCAATGACTTGGGCTGAGAAGACTTCAGACCTGACTAACTTGTCTCAAATTAATTAGATTTGACTTGACTGGTCAAGGTGATTTCAAGCACTTGAAACTTAAGACTTGTGACTTGACTTGAAAACTGACTCGACTCTGTAAATCAGCCCTACCTGCCACCTAGCCGAGGTTAGAAGAAGGGTTTTTTTGTTTGCATCCAAAGCTAACCTGTTTGTTTTGATAGTATTAGCCACCTAGAACAATCAGGATTTTACATTTGTGTTGAATATGATTTTAATTTGGGAGGAACTGGAGCTTTGTGTAACGTAAGTGCTTTGTTTGAGACTGTCTCACCAGCTTCGTCACTTGACACTGTGCCACTGCAGAGCTGTAGTAAAGCCAGTATTGTATCGATACGTGTTTCCCCCTGTTAAAAACTGCAATTGTTCCCCCTCTTGGTGGCTAGAGTTAGGATGACATTTGGATTAAGATATAAAGAGGGAGCACATATTTATACAACACTGGACCAGCAGCTGCATTTTGTACAGTTTGTCCCAACCAGGCATCAGTAGCATATATCGTTGCCAGGAAACAGGACGTTAGATTGAGTTTCACTAGACCCCCTAGGGGCTGAAAAGAAATTAATGAATGCACCTTTAACTTGGGCTTCAGATGACAGCTGTGCAAACTGCTTATTGTACTAGTTTAATTTGTGCACCTCAAACCTAAAATGTTTCCTGACTGCTCACGGTGGTGTATATAAAATTGTCTCAGCTTATTGTTCCAGCTCATTGCCTTTGTTTACATCTCTGCTGCATTTAAATGTTCATATTCTCTCTGTTGCCTGACTGACTCTTTGGTTCTGTTGTTCTTCCAAGTTTCTGTCACCCTGCTTGTGGTTTCCCTGTGTTACAGTTAACTCTAATCTTCATATACCCCCAGCCAATGTAGAAAGAAAATAAACAATGCAAAGCTTCAGTGAGATTTCACAGATTTGTATGTGATGCCAGGTTTACCTGCGTTTGTTTTTGGCCTTTAGTATCTGGATACAGAAAATGATTTAATAGGCCGCAACTAGCTGATCAGCTGAGGTTTGCCAGGGCTACAGGTGTAGCGAGTGAATATGAAAGAGCTTCATGTTCTTGTCTCAAAGATTCATGCTTTTTTTTTTTTTTTTTTTTTTAAATACACATACTGCAGCTCTGCCTACACCGAGACCACCCAGCCACTGTTATTACAGGCCAGTTCCTTCACCTCTAACGCCAACACACCCTGCAGATACTGCTGACACTCCAGAATGGGCCGTGCCAGCCTAAACACCCTACACCAAGGGAACAAAGATGTATGTAGCTTCTTTTACCAGCGTTGTCTAGTGCACTGATGATGTGATTTGATGTGTAATGGTAGCAACCTGTACTGCAATTATTCATTCAGAATGACAAACACTGTTCTGGAAATATTCTGACATATGTAAATATGTACCGGCTTAAAAAAAAAAAAAAAAAAAAAAGATAATGGAAGTGAGGATGATGCATTTAGTCAAGCACTTGTAGCAGTGTTTCCAGTATATGCAGCTTCCCTCTACAACTCTACTTCATTTTATAGTTGGATCAAATGATAAAGCAGATAAAACAATACAATGATCAACAGCACCATATTTCGGCTCTAGAATATTTTTAATGCAAACTTACTTAAAATGGAAGAATGTAATAATGTACAGTTGTATTGCTACTGTTTAGTTTACTATAATTAACCTAAAACAAATTTCTCCAAGGAGATAATCTATCCCATCACATCACAATGTGGTCAGTGTTGATCTAGGGAAAGGAATCAGCTGGCACATGAGTTTGGTTCATGGTTCGTTAAAATACTACTGGATAGGTTGTCATTACGTTTTGTACAGACATGCTTGAAAGCCAGAAGGGTCATGATTCATCTCCTTTTCCCCACCATTCAATCTTTAAGACCAGTTATAATATAGTTTTATACAGCCAACCAGCATTAACGCCGCTGTGGACACCGCACATATATGCCACCAGCAGGTGTTCTGCAGTCACTGTTTCAAAACGGCCCTCTGCACTGCCATTTAATCCTTTGTGGGCATATGAATGCCAGTTTCACTGGAATAGACACACACTGGTGGTGTTGTAACTGTACAAGACGGTGTTTGTTATCTTGCAGTCACATTCTGGCATCTGTCTCACATATTCTGACACTTCATTACTTCTGTTAAACCAGAGCAATTTGACACTGTTGACAATGAGGAGTGGGGAATATATTGGGGGAAATATGTATTAATGTGACAGTTCAGTTTGCATTTTTTGCATGTGTCTGAACATAAAGGGAATTTTAAACCTTGGTGAGAAATGAAATCCTCTACTCCTACTCTGTACTATATCATATATGTACATTAATGTACTCAGTTATATTTCACATCCCTTAATCTTTTCAGTTAAGGGCAGAAATTAACAGCAGGTTACATTAAAAATCCGTGAGTAAATGTTCAGACGGACACTTTTTTCATTCAAAAGTAATTTTGATTCTGCTCATGTTCAGAAAGTTTAGAAATGCCAAATGACTTTGACCCCCTTCGCGTCATCACAGCAGCGCACTCTGCTACACTACAATTTGTCATTTTTGGCACAACTAATTGTTACCATGGTTGTTGGTCTATTGTGTGAAGGTGCAAGGAGGAAAGTTTTGCATGTTACTGTAAAACACCTCTGATACAAAGTGACACTTTTAGTCTGTTCCTTGATGCTCCATTTATGCACAATGGCTCCTGAGCTATTGTTTATGATGCACCAAAATTATAGATGAACTGCCACACGTTTTTAACTTCATCTGTGTGTCCCCTAAGAGAGATCCCTCTCTCCTTTTGCCATTGCAACATTTGAAACGTTGTTGCTGCCACAAGTGTTTTAAATGTCACCCAGTGTCACTGCTTAGTTGAGTGTCAGGCACGAAAGGCTACCAGCAATAAGAGCAGAGCTACCTGCCAGCTCACGTTCTTTTTCATACACGTCTCTGCAGCAGAGCCCAAAATAAACTCCGTCTATGCTTCACCTCTGCAGAGATGTACTGTTTTGAAATACCTGTTATTTTAGTGCTTGTGTGTAAAGTACTGGTTTGGTTGTGCGTTTGTGTGAATGCTGTTACACATGGAAGGATTAATGAACGGTCCTTCTGGTCCAGGTGATTAGGAGCTTACAGAACTCCCATGTTCTTTGCACTTTCTTCATTCCCTTATCTTTTGGCATCAAGGGAAATGAAGGTAATCCACTGACAGTTTGCCAGGTGAGGTGAACAATGGCAAAACGAGGGAAATGATGGATGCGATTCATCATGAAGCTCCTTTCATTGTTGCAGGAGTGCGTCTGGCACCGCTGTTTGAAATGGCACCTCTCGCCTGCAGACTTTGGGGAAGGGAGCTTTATGAAGATGCACGAGTTGGAAAACAGACTATTAAAGTTAGTGAAAGTTCATTAACCTTGTAAAAGTAGGCTCTGGCTCCCATAAAGCACCTTATTTCAGGATTTTCCTGTCATTTTTTGTTATCATAAGTGCTCTTGGTAGCCTGATAGTTCATTTCACATGTGACAAGTATTAAATGAGACATAAGAGTTGGAGCTATGCACATGTGGGGGCTAATGACTGACTTTGTGACTGGTTATTGAAGAGGAATAAAACTCTGCACTATGGCAATTTGGCTGCTTTTCAGCACTAACCTCTCATAGGGCGTTTTCTCTTTTTATGTACTCAAACTTAGCAACACCACAAGCTGAGTGTAAATTAGAAAACACAGAAGGTAACTGCAATCAAACTCATTGTTGCTAAGCTAACATGTCTAATCAGGGATAACTCAGGGGGTGTCCTGTGCTAATTGTTATGGTGCTATTGGTCCACGAGGAAGGCACTGCAGAGGAAATTGAAGCAATGAACGAACCAAGATGGCAGCTTTGAGTCAGAGACAAAGCGATTATAGTTTCCTTACCATCTGGGTGAGTTGTCTGCTCTCTGCCACCACCGTAGACCAGGTTCTCATAACCATCTTCATTACCAGTCACACAGCTGGGTGCGCCACTTCTGATTTTTTCCTCAGAAAAATCACTGTCACTGCTGGGGGAAAAAACATTACGAGAATAAACATGGATGCAACAGAGACTCCCACAGCAGAGCTTGTGTGCACGTTCAGTGTTTGAAAGTATTGAGGCTTCAGTTTTGTTTTTGTTTGTGGGGATATTGGCATTGGAGTTTGCAGGCAGTTTGCGTCACATTAGGGCGACCCCTGCCAAGTTATGGGAAGAAATTAATGACTAATTCTTAGCAGATGTACAAGACTGCTTAGCAAAAAAGTTAATATATGCAAATCACTGCTGGGTTTTATTTGAGAAAAACAGGCAGAAGTCTCTCCTCATTTTTAATGTGATTTCTGGTGTGTGATGACAATCATTGCCTCTGAGCCCCTCTGACAAAAAGTTCACAGCCCATGAGCACCACCAGCCTATAATTTAGCAGCAGAATGACATCTTTTTGCAGCAGGACCGGACATTCAGAGAAAAGGCCTCCTTTCACCAGGCCCCACATCAGCATCAACAGCCAGGAGAGGCAAATGATGGTCAACACGCCGAAGAGGCTCAATGTATCCATGGTGCTAATAACTCAGCCAGGCTCAACCCCCACTGCGCTGCTTCCTGGGGAAACTCCCACTGTGCTGCTAAGCTGCCAGCAGCTGCATTTATCTGCAGGGAGAGATGGAGGTTGGCCATCCAGGCTTAGTCACCAGCCTGATAAATACACATGCACCAGGAGTCAGTGATAGCTAAATGTCTTAATTTGCATGTTTTGCTGTACAGTACATGCTGTTTGTTTACACCTGTGGCCTGTTACTCATGTTGTGGGGGCCCGACATTCTTATGGGGACAATAAGTCCAACACAAACCATTATATTTTAGAGATACTGTACATTGTTTTCACTTGATCAGAAGAATCTTTACCATTATTTTTCTAGACAATTATGCTTTTAGTTTCTTTTAGAACACAAATATACAAACAATAAGCCATATTATTAGAGGACAAATCAATATATCAGTGTGGTGAAAATTTGGAAGTTTACATTTCAATATTTTAAAGTCATTTTACAAACTTCAGTGTTGGCTTACAAGTCAACTTTGAAATTTCATTCTTGACTTTGGAAACTGGCAACACAATATTGCCACAAGGTGACGTAAACACAATTAGATATATGTAGACATAATACAGCAAAAGTCCTCCCCTTCTGATGTGATACTGATTGTGTTGATCACTATCATAAAAGTCACATTAAACCTACTTTGATTCTGTGTACAAGACTGACAAAAACCTCCAAAGAGGGTGAACACTTCATAAGTATTGCAAAAAAGTACTAGTATAAGCAAGCTTGAAAACCTATGGCATATAGAAACAAAAACAAGGCTACGATTAAAGACCTTATACTTTAGCATTACAATGCAAGGAAAGGACCCAAATATGCAGACGCAAGCCAAGGCAGAGGTCAAGATTTTAACGCAACATGAAACAGAACAAAATACAAGGCTTAACCTGACATAGTAACACAAAAAGTACAAAACTAGGTCAGGGAGCTGGGTACAGAAATGAAAACCAAACCAGTGAAATGACAAATCCAACCAAGTCAGGAACAAATGAGAGATGGGTACTTAACTTACAGGGCAGAGATGCAGGAGTGGTGAGCTGAGAGATCAGAGATGACAGGGGCAACAAGGCATGGAGACAAAATGAACCAGCAACCAGACTGAGGGCGAAGGAAGGAGGATATATAGGCAGGTGACCAGAGGATAACGAGCAGCAGGTGGAAACAATGAAAGGTGATTGTAAACCGGGGTAAAGCTGGGGCAGGTGAGATGACAAGGCAGGAAACTAACCAAACTAAAAGCACAAAACAGGAAGCAAGCCCACAAACATAACAAAATGACTCGTTCAAGTTTCATCAGGATTTATAATAAGCAGAGTCCACTGCAGAACCATGAGTAAATGTTGCCTGTAAAACAAGTCTTAATGTTAACTTGAGGTTCTGCAGAAAACCTGTTTAGCTTGTCCTTCTGCCAGCTGGGTACAAACTTTTGATTTGAACTCTTCTGTGATCCTGCATGGCACATTACTATTCATTTATTTCCTGTTGAAATACCAAAGCTGTTCTAATAGTGTTGCTATTCCCCTTTGGTTGTTATCCTGTCTGTGAGTGGGGGTCGGTGTCCAGAATCGAAACACAGTTAGTGTCAGAAACGCAAGCAAGACAAAACGTATGGTAAGGCTTGATGCTAATCTGGCAGGGGCTGAGTGTGGCTGACTGGTTTAAGGTGGAGCAGGGCTGGCCAGAATAATGGCAACCCTGGGTACCGGGAACAAAGACATGCAGGTAGGGTGGAGGAATAGTCAACTGTGCTTTGATCACTCTTGAACTACTTAAATTACTATTGTTATTTAAACAGTCTAAAGGCATTTTAGAGCATTTCAGAAAAGTCATTGTTGCTGCTAAAATATCCACTGAGTTTGCTTCATGTCTGGTAAAACTGTTTCGAACAGTTGACAAACCTCAGATCCACAATACAAAGTCAGTTACTTCCTTTTAATTTGTGGATACGTCTCATTATTCAGAATGTGAATGAAACTTTTCCTTTTAGCCATATTGTTGACAAGAATCATTTCACCTCAGTGGCCCAGACACACTGAGCAAACATCAAGCCTGTTAATATGCTACTGTATCATTTAAAGTTCCTTGTTGTTAATTAAGAGCTTCCGCATGAGGGAGCCAAGCTTGTTTCAGTCCTTGGTGAATGTGTTCCAGACTTAATTCACTGCTTACCTTGCCAAAGCGCGATGCCAGTGCATCCCCTGCACTCATTTGCGTGAAATTAGAAGATGAGAGGAATTAGCTCCGTTTCTTTTATCCCCTCCCACCTCCTCTTCCTGTTGGGAGTGCAGATGTGGTGGGTCCTTTGTGGGCCCATCTGTTGTGCCGTCGTAGCTTTGGCGCAGCCAGCATCTGACTGGGGGCCAGGTGATTAGGCTGCCATCCAATGCAATCCACACAGGTAAGCCACTGCTCCATGGCCCTGAGTGGCCCTATCAAGGAGAGACAGGTGACGGGTATTAGGTCAAACACATGCAAAGCTCCCAGCTGCACTACAACCAGAAGAGGTTTTACATGGATGCATACACACTAATGATGTGAAAACCCTCAAGGTGCAGGGTCTCTGCTTGTTTAACTTCTGGTTCCAATAACAGTTTTCCTGCATTAACTAGCAAAGATGTCTTAACATGGGTGATATGTGAAAACATGGAAAGGAAACAAAGCTGCACAGCTCCACAGGGGCATCAACTGGCTAGAAACCACTTCTCTACCCAATACAAAGAAACTCTCCAACCAAATAAACAAATGAAATAAAACCTTAACGTTAATGCCCTTTTTTTATTGTGCTGTTATTTTATCCATCTCCTTCCATCTGTGACCAACAGAAACATCAGTAAGTAAAAAGACATTATCCATCATCATAAATGCTAAATAGCCAAATGTCTGTTTAGAGTAACAAATGAAGGGGCTGCACAGAGTATTAACAGGCTCAAGTGACCTTGTGAGACAAATCACAAGACTGGTTGACTTGGTTCTAAGAATCTTGGCTTAAGGAGAAACATGTTGAACAAAATTTGAATAAATTGACTTTTGGTGACAGTAATGGTTTGAACACTTGGTCTCCTGTGTGCTTGGATAGCTGCAAACTGATGTGCACCTGAATTTTATAGTCTGTGACATTTGACATGTAGTTATAGTGTAGACATTTGGAGGGATGGACACCGTTCTTCCAGAAGCTGTTCCCTCATGTTGTTTTTTTGATGATGGGGTAGAGAAGCTGTCTAACACGTCACTCAATCATCTCCCATAGCTGTTCAACTGGGCTAAGACCTAGATGTCAAATCAGAAACTGCACAAAACGGTAAATGTTAAGGCCTCAGCCCTGGCCCTGGCCCTCGCCTTCAGCAAGTGAGGACCTAAACCACAACCACTAGTGATGGTCCTCTGGCACCTGAAGCTCCGACGCATGCATGGCAGCTCATGAAGCAATTGTATTGGACCACTGTGCCAAGGCGTGTTTTGATCACATGACTAGTGACGTTTGAAGCACTTGAGTGATGTTCAAAGCAGTTGAGTGCCTTGGACGCCATACAAATCAGCTGGTTGGTTCGGTTTGTCATGTGAGTCTGAATACTTATGACCATGTGATATTTCAGTTTTTCTTTTTTAATAAATCTGCAAAAATGTCAAAAATTCTGTGTTTTTCTGTCAATATGGGGTGTTGTGTGTACATTAATGAGGAAAAAAATGAACTTAAATGATTTTAGCATATGGCTGCAATATAACAAAGAGTGAAAAATTTAAGGGGGTCTGAATACTTTCCGTACCCACTGTACATATAGATAAGATATACAGAGAGAAAAAGGGGAAGAGAGACAGAATAGATAAACTATCTAGCTAGATATACATATCTAGATAACACAAGCACACCCAATGCCCTGTTCTTCAAGCACACCCTCTTTACCCACATACCCATGAACCTCTTTACCAATGAACCCCAAAACATACTTAACCAAAGCCCATAATATATTTGCACCAGTCCCATGTGAAAATGACATCTGTCTGAATTTGTAGATCACATCTCATGTAGCAGCACCATTTAAATGTTTCATAACACAAAATATAAGTGGAACAAAGGGGAACTCACTGAGGGGAACAAAGCAGTTTCTTCTTCGGAAGTCATCGGTCACGTGTCTTTTTCTGCGCCAAAGCAAGCTTCGAAGCAGTGGCTCAAGGAAATTGTTGCTTCGAGTTTGAGGCTTATATTGGAGCATTGGTGTCAGACGGCCATCACTACATTAATAAAAAGCCCTTTTTTTTTACTTTAAAAGCTGTGTCCTCTGCCTTACTGTTTGGTCCCTGACAGTAAATGTGTAAACAACGAATAAACTGCAGGTACTATTGGGACCTCTACCTGCCAGCTGAAACACATCACCACTCTGCCCTGGAGCTGTGCCCTCTCGTCTCCCTCAAATCGCTCATTCTCAGACATGAGGCATCCAAACGTAGCCTTCACCAGCAGCCTGATACACTTCAGTGTGCTCATCTCGACATGAAGCAGCAGCTTCATCTGAGGTCCCCCCAGGTCACAGAGATCCTCCTGCAGTCACGAAGACAGAGGGCGATCACCCTGCAGAGAAACCTTGTTTTAGTCAATTGTGTCCTCAATCCCATTCCATCTTTCAGTGCTAAGAACTAGAGACCATCAGCGAGGGTCAGGATGGAGCCTGACTACTAAGCACTGACTCACCACAGTATATTTAAGTTCAGCTCACTCTTTAGTACAGAGCTACCAGTGGTTACTCCAGCTACAGCTGACAGACAAGAGATCCATCTCACAAGTCATTTTAAAGGGGCATGGACAGAAGACAGCATTTCACCAGCAACAAAGTCTAATGACAGATGCTGATGAATTGTATTATGGGAAATTTAGGTATTTTTGAAGCTTGACCTGTACTAGAAACCTCATTTCAGTATCTCAGTCCCCCTACCCGCTCTCCTTATTCATCTTTCCTTAGCTCAAGCACATATTTACCATCAGATAATACAAACAATAATTCATGGGCAAACATCTTGGTTTACAGTGATTTATTTTATCCTTTCTTATATTGAGACAGGGTGGGCGGAATGTTTTTTCCAGCTTTTGTCAGTATCTGCCGTGTGCCTTAAAGATGTGATCATTTCCATTATTCACAGCAAATACACTGTCTCTCCTCTATGACCTAATTTGGCACCACCCTTGTCGAATAGAGAGCCCTGAACATAAAGGTATGGAGGGCCTTTTGGTTAAGCTGGTGGGAGTTTGATTTGCTGTGGGGGAAAAAAAGGGAAGCATCTGACAGGGAACAAGGCCTTGTTTTGATTACCCTTATCAGAGCATGAGCTGAAATGACAGCCTAGGAGATCTGAGGAGGTCGGTCAGCCTGGTCAATAGACAAATTTCCACACCGAACATGCTGAATATGGATGGAAGCGTTCTCTTGTGCTGCATCTGTTTCCTTCTTTATTATCTTGTTGAATGATACATTCCATGCCAGGCTCTGGCACCAGTCCCATATCCTTCATAAATGACTCAATTCAGAAATGAGCTATGGGCTCTACGGTAGGAAAAGCTGAGATCTGTACACCCACATTCTTTACAGTAGCTGAAGCTTCTCATATTGATGGAGATTCCTGCAACAAATGTCATCACTAAGGGAGGCGTGTTTTTATGAAGTGCTGCTCATTCTCCAATCATGGATATCTCAACAAGTGACCAGAATAAAACCTAAACTTTAGAAACAATGATGACACAGGATCTACAACTGAGACAATTTCACTACTTTCCAGACTAATCAACACTTTAATTTGCTAATCAAGGCAAGTTTATTTTCATACCATCTCTCAAGAGAAGCATAAAATACAATCACAACATAAGACACTAAAAACTAAGTCTAAAAACTTTATATCTAAAAGCATTGGGTCTCATTCACCAACTGTTCTTAAGAACAAATTTGTTTGTAAAACCTACGTATAAAGTATTCACAAAGACGCATGCTTTCTTAATCGGGATTTAATTGTAGTTAACCTATGCTAATTAAGAACAACTGGCATGTAGACTTTTCTTAGGACCTTTCTTAAGAACAACCTACCAAGAAATTTAAGAAAATA